CCTTAGCGGTTAGACCATGGGCCACGCGTCCTCGAGAGGATGGATGGCCCATTGTTCCCACAGGACGTATCACCGATGGCCAATCGTTCCTTTCTGGAAACGGGGGGGCTACCACAGGGGGGTTGGAGGGGAGGGTTCAAGAGCTTTGGCGAGGGGGCGCTGTAGTGTCGCCAATCGGGCGCGGTTTTCCTGGTTGTGGTTTTCAAGGGTAGGAGGCGGGGGGGGCTACGAGAATGCCCCGGGGAGGGGGGGAGGGGGGGAGGGGGGTTGCATGACAGCGTGGTTATTTGGCGGGTTCCCGCGCTAAAGTTCTGGTGCGTGCTCATTTTCCCCATTTTGTAGCGGGAGGGTTGCTGCATCCTTGTTGTTCGCTTTCTGTCAGCCCTGACGCCTCATTTTGCATGCCCTTCAAGAGCGCCAAACACCGAGTGAGGTATGTATAGAGGGGGGAAAGACAAGAACAGGACGCGAGGCGTCCGTATGTTAACACTTCCCCCCCACCCTCGATTGACGATGACGCTCGTCCGGCGGTGGTGGAAACAACACCAACAGTTGGATTTTTCTTGGCCAAATGGCTGCCGCGTGAGTTCGCTTGAGTGCAACGTTTGCTGAAATCGGCTAGAAAACAACCCCCCCTCCTCCCTGTCACAGGAAGGCGCAAAAGCACGGCGGCGGCGCCGTCGGCGCGGATAATTTTTTCAAGTCACGTTTTCCGGAGCGCAACTCGTTTAGGTGGGGGGACCAGCCCACCGCTGACGGGAACCCGCGGCGTTCCGAACCTCACAGCAGCGAGGGAGCCTCCCCGAATGGCCCTCTGCTCCGCCTCGCGGACTCTCAAGCTTCGTCGAATAGGTCCTCTGGCCACGAAAGCGTTCCTCACGAGGGCGATGAGGCCGTCGGGAGTGGCGTCGATCACAGGAGAGCCACTTCCACCTCGTCGGCAGCAGTGGCCCCTGAATCGTCGTCAACGAGCCGCGGTGTTTCCGGCGGCGATCGCGGGAAGGAGGTCGAGAGTCCAAGCGCCGCCGGGACGGGGGGGGTTACCCAGCAGGCGGCGGCAGCGGAGGCGGCGGCGGCGCCTGCTGCTACGGCGGGGGGAAGGGATGAAGAAGGCGCTATCCCTCGGAACGTGTCGATGGAGGAGTCCGTGGGCACGAATCCTCTGTACAAGACCGTGGCGCCTTACAGCCGGTCGACTAGCGAGTCTCAGCCGGTGAGTTTTTGTAGCTGTTCGCGGCGCGCGTTGCCTGCGTGCGCCACAAGCAAGCATAGCGCTTGCGTTCTTCTTTTCATTGGTCGGACGGTTAGCGCGAATGATGCTATTTGATGAAGACACCTACACGCAAGGGGTCCGAGATGATGAACTTTGGAAGCGCTTTCCGTTGTTAACTGCACCGAGACGGAGGGGTGTTCGTTGGTCAGCCCCTTTGGTGCAGTCGATGCTGTTAACAGAACCGCACGCACACACGTCTTGCTGTCACCTTCCAGTCGTTGTTATTTTGGCCTTGTCCATGCATCTGTGATCTAAACGCGTGTCTTAGCTTTCTCCACTTGTGTGCGTTTTATTAAAACACGGTTGCCGTGTGTGCTGTTGAGGGACGGGAGTGTTAATTTTCAGAATGGACGTCGTAGTTGGCTCAAAGCGAGTGCTCGTGGCGAGACAGCTCTGTGCGCAAGCTTGCGACCGTGCATCTCTGTTTCGGATGCGACTTATGTGTGTGTTGGATGCCACGATGTGAAGACTACATGCGATCCTACTCTACAACTATTGTTCGTCACGGAACACCTCAACGGACAAAGGCGGCCAAGATATAGAGTGTATATCACGGCCACCAAATCGCCACCGCCGCAATAAGTACGAAGAACGGGCAGACAAATCCAAACCCTACTACAACAACCGTCATCTGTTTACCTGCACGACTGATTTTGTTCTCCTCCCCCAAAGAAACGCCGTTCTTCTCTCTCGGCCCCTCACTTTGCGCCTCCCTCCCTCCCTCCCTCCCTCCCTCCCTCTGTTTGGACAATCACCGATCCCAGGAACAAACACCGGGAAGGTCTCGCTTGTCCACTTTCTTGGGCAACGCCACCCCGTCCCGTCTCCGCCGCCTGGCCGCCCGAGTGGGCAAGAGCCCGGCCCTGTCCGCGAGCTCCCGCCGCTCGAAGCCTTCGAGCGCTTCCAGGCACTCGCGCAGCGGCGGCTCGTCCACTCGCAGCCGCAGGCACCGGAGGCAGGGGTCATTCCCCGGGGCGTACAGCCAAAGGAACTCGTCGGAGCTTGACCACCAGCGGCCCCCGGCGGACCCTGTCTACACGTTCATGATCAAGGTGGGTAGGAGGGGTGGGGGTTGGGGGGGGG